CCCCCCCCCCCCCCCCCCCCATCCACCTTGGCCCTGTGCCCACCATCGCCCCCTACAGGACGGGACTCTTTACCCCTGACTTGGCTTTTGAGGCCATAGTAAAAAAACAGATTCTAAAGTTGAAGGAGCCCAGCCTGAAGTGTATAGATATGGTGGTGAGCGAGCTCACCTCCACCATCCGAAAGTGTAGCGAGAAGGTAACCAGGAGCACAGCTGCTTCCTTTCCCTGCTTTACTCGCCCAGGCAGAGCTAGACCGATGGCTGGAATTAATCAAGAACACATCCATTAAGTGAAAACGAAACTCGATATGTTTGACTGCCATTCCTCCATCATACAGACCTGCTTACCAATTCAGGCTAAGAAACATGGGACATGAGGCAGAGGGCGCCCTGGAGGGAATGCCGGCCTGCTGCAGGCACATGTTCAAGCACTAGGGGCAGTAGAGACACCGGTTGGTGCAAGAAAAAACCTGGAGAAACGGAGAGAGATCACACACAGAGCTTAAAGCAGGATTCACACCCTGAACCCTGATGGTGTGGGGCATTAATGCAAACCACTGAACCATTGTAACAGCTGGACTGCTGGGTCTCCCCTAACACACTGAAAAGCATTTTCTTTTTTCCACTTTCAGCTTATTATCTTCTTTTGACTTTCGCACCACAGTGCATTGTGGGATATTTCTTTTTGGACTGCCTATCCCTTTTGATGAAATGATTGTTTTTCATTCAGTCATAAATGGACCACAGTTTTCCAGAACACGTTAGCTCCTAAAATGATCTGCACCATTTTTTATTGACAATGTCACTAGTGCTTTTTGCTGGAAAATATGGATACAAGCTCAGCTAAGATGCCATAGTTGAATTCTGTTGTAATTCGGTTTCTCTGATGCACCATGAAAATAACAGATGATGCTATGTAGGTCTAACTGATAAAAGCCTGGGTCTCATGTTTGCTGATCGACTTGTCTAGTCTTCAGCAGAGTGTGGCTTGGAATAGTCAGTCATCCATTCCCAGATGTTTAGATCATTGTGGATTCTGAATTCAGCATTCAAATGCGTGGCAGGATCCCCGGCCAATGGCGTTAGGCCGACTCCTTCATCACATGACCCCAGGCGGTTTGCCCCGTCTTACTTCCAGAACGTTCTAGATGTGGTTCCCGCTGGCATCCCTCCTGTCAGTGTTCCTCTCGCAAGGTTTTCATAGGGGCAGAGCAGAAAAAACAATGATTTCTTTTTTTAAAATGGCATCCATAGCTATCTGTTTCTGTAACTAAAAAAAAAACTGCAGGGGATTGTGGGAATTTTGCACACCCTTAAAGACATGAACATGTTTTTCAGCATTTTGAGGTGAAAAGCAAGAGAGAACAGAAATAAACTTACTAACCGCAACAGACATTTATAATCATCCAGCCTCTATCGGTCTATCCTTGCCACAGACTTTATCGCTATTATGATTTTTATTTTTTAATCTGTCATCAAATTTCAGTTCGTATTTTTTCTATATTCACTTGGAGAAATCTAAGCAGTTCATATTATCGCTGCAAGTGGAGCCATTACTATTTTTTTCATGCATGTGGGTAAAATCTCATTAAATTTTTTTAAACTCAATTATGCAAACGGTTCCAGCCACGTTTTTCTTTTTTCTTTTCTGTGTTCTGTCCACACCGGCCGTTTAGGTTTCCGTGTTGATTTTTTGTTTGTTCACTGTCACGTGGTTTGAACGTCAATATGTGCTGTTGGCGTCCGGAGCTCCTCCGCTGAGCGTAATCTGACTGAAGCAGCCGGGTACCCTCGATCCCGTCACTTTTTCAAAATGTACCCCATGAAGCCCATTTTCTTTTGTCCCACCTTCAGTGTCTCACTTCCACATCAACCAGGCAACTAAGAAAGGCAATTTGCCCTTCTGTGGATTTTGAACTTTTTTTTCTGGGTAAGGACGGCAGGACTAAGACTGTCGCGTGAAGATGATGACATTTCCGTTAAATTACAAAGCCAAAGTAATAGTTCGTAACCGTTATCAGCTCTAGGAGTGGCTTGAAAGTAAAATTGCATATTATCTGCCAAATTTTATTACCCCTTCTGTCTCAAGGGGTGCAGATTAAAGACCTGAGTATCAGTCATAAGCGTCGTAAGTGGTGCACAATTATTATCACAAGCGCAGCAGAAAGAGGTCACATGACCTGCCGGGAACGAATGAGCAGTCTTGTTACATGACACATGCTTTGGCTTCAAGAATCAGATTGCAGGGAGGCCCTTAAAATCAAATGCAGCTTCTTCATAAAGATAGATAAGCAGAGCTGGTTGTACTGGTCCTCCTTTAAAACAACTAAGGTCATGATCCTAGCGGCCTCGGTGTTGGGTATGGGTCTGCTGAGGAATGGTTAGCAGATATTGGCATGAAACACTGGTACATGTAATGTTATACGGGTGGAGCTTTTATCTGAATCATCCCTCCTCAGCGATCGGAAGCAGGCCGTCATTAAACAAATCCCTGTGAGCATAACCATAAGCTTGGCCTTCATCCCTGTAATCACAGAACCGAAACAAAAAGCCTTTGTCCTCCGAGTTCACGAGGGTACATGCGAGAAAGCCGCTGTGCTGTTTTCAGTCGCCACGGAGAGAAACGCTTACAGTTTCAATCAAAAATCCACAGAAGGACATGTGGTCAGGAATTCTGAAGCCCTTAGTCCCTCAGACAACCTTTGTCCCTGTCCTCCGTTACTCTGTAGAGTCCCCCTCTACCCCCCCATAGCATCCCGTTCCCTAACCCCAACCCCAACCCCCAACTGTACCCAACCCCAACCCTAACCCTGACGTCCGACATCATGTCTGTCTGCTTGTCTGGCTGACTGACTCTCCAAGCTAACCCTGGCCACTCATGTTACTCCCGTTCGCTCACACCGTTACTGCTTGCTCCCGGAGCGTGCCGTCCTTCCCCTCTGTTGTCGTGTGGCTTCAGTTTTTCTTTTACAACATTTTCTTAGCCAGTAGCTGTGGTGCATCTTCTCTGACCAATTTCTCTTCTTGAGGGACAAACAGAAGGAAAACCTTTGGCTGTCCATGTTTTTCCACGTGGAGAATGTCCCCTTATGATAATCTTGCATGTAAAGCTGAAGCCTCCTAATACAGAACAAAAACAGTCACTAATTACAGTTACTAATTATACTAACCAGTCATTACTAGTTCTACTTCTTTAAAAAATTACTGAGATTCCGGAGGCAATCTGTCGTACCATATGCTTTTTGTTTATTTTTTTTTTTTTGTTCAAAATTTCTAGTAATTGTGAAGAGATACACCACAGCTTTGAAATCCGCATGCTCCCCAGCATCTAAAGTCCCCCCCCCCCCTCCACTGCTCTGCGTGCAAATGTGCCGTGCACTGGACCGATATTTGTTTTCTTGTGCATAGGGGGTGGTGGAGGGGGGAGGGGTCGTTTCACAAGGAATCGCCATCCAGGGAAATGGCCCCCTGCTGGCCATACAGTACGGTGATATTGCTGTCTTTGCTCTAGTTGGCCTGTCGCCTATTTTAAAAGGTTGGAGAGCTGCCCTGACATCACTTATGATGTCACTCTCCCTTGGCTTTTTATTGGGCAAGCTTTTTAATTTGGGATCATGGTCAGCTCGGTGCAAAATCTGAATGCTCTTTGACCATAGTGTTTGATAATAATAATAATAATAATAATAATAATAATAATAATAATAATAATAATAACTGTTCTGTATTATTAATCCTTTGCAACCTTCCCCCACCCTCTCCACCACCTCAGTCTGATATGACACACATGCTGTCTGTGTTTAGTATTTGTCGGTGTTTCGTATATCTATGAATTAGTGTGTGTGTGGTGCTTGTGACTGTGACCCACCCCAGCTTCTGCTCTCTGCCCTCCCGCTCGCCCCGAAAAGCTGGCCCAGTACCCCATGCTGAGGGAGGAGATGGAGAGGATTGTAACGCAGCACATCCGGGACCGCGAGAGCCGCACCAAGGAGCAGGTGAGGCCTGTGGCTGATGGCTACCGCGCAGGGTTCCACACCTGTAATGTTACTATGAGGCTACGTGCCTGCGGGGAAGTGGCAGTGATTTGATGTGGCCATTGCTAGGTGATGCTGTTGATTGATATTGAGCTGGCCTACATGAACACAAACCATGAGGACTTCATTGGATTTGCCAAGTAAGTAGCCCCGCCTTCGGTAACACAAGCACCGCCCTTTCACTCATATCAAGCTTAAGTGTGAAGGTAGCGAACATGGATAATTAATCGAAAGCGACTTTGATTTAGGAGAAGATATTCTGCTTCATTGTGTTTCTGCTTGGCTATCTCTGGATACATTTAAATGCCTGTTTTTCTCATCCACAAATTTGAAACATATTTAAACTGTTTTGCTTTTGATATATAACCCCGGTAATGTGATGTTTCTTTAAAAACAGGCCTATTTCTTTGTAGCCTCACCATAAAAGTAGAATGCAAATGTCCCTGATAGCCGGTAAGATGGCTTCTGCCCAGTGGCTGTAAATATCTTTAAAATGACGTGTGAGCTGTTTTATCATCGGTATGGAGGCTTGTAGAGAAGCACCAGAATCGTCTGTGCAGCAGGCAAACCTGGGGCTGAGTAGGGTGTGTGTGTGGGGGGGGGGGGTGGTTCTTGTACCGCGGATCAGGTGGGAGCCTCTTTGTGGAGGAACGATGGGGGTTACTGTTTGGGGTCTCTCTGCAGCGCCCAGCAGAGGAGCAGCCAGATGAGCAAGAAGAAGGCAGCCGGGAATCAGGTGTGTGTTTCCATGGAGACCGTCAGGCCGGGGCTGAACGAGAGCCCGATTGAAACAGTCACCAAATCACCAAAACAGCAGGCATTAATCAGTTATTTTACACAGCTAAAATGATTAAAATATATAATAAAGCCACCCTTTGCACTTTAGATGTAATTCATCCACACTGTCTACTAATATTATTCACATTCACTTAATTAATTTGATGAATTGTTCTAATTAATGAATGATTAAAATGATTCATTAAGACGTCATTCGGGACAGGAGATGCTATCGTCTGGGATCCCTCTCAGTGCAGCCATTCTCTTTCATCGTAAGCGTAAACACTTCCATGCGCTAATTTGTGTTTAACGCGTCCAGGTTCTGCGTGGCCTGGTCCTGGAAAACCGGTACAGCGGTTTGGATTTCCACGCGGCCTGCTTATGAACCTGACTCTGTCTTTTTTTTTTGTATTTTTTTCTCTCCCCATCACCATGGTAATTAAACCTCAGGATGAGATCATGGTGAGTGGACCGAATTCCTCTGTGTTCGTGTTTGTGCAGGTTCGCGCACGTGTGTAAGCGTGTGTGTTTGTGCGTGAGACAGGTCTCGTTAGTATGGACGTCCTGTGACTTTTCAGCCGACTTCACCGCCCCTGTGCTGGAAAGGATCCTGTCAGAGATTATGCCCCTGCGACAGACCATAATAAATTAAATGACTAATAAGTCATTCAATAGCACTGTGGACATTTATCTTCATACAGGTGGGGGCTTACGGGTATGTTTACAGTTAGATAGGTATAAATATACAATCTTTGTGTGAGGGTAATATGTTTGTGCTCTGATAATTTTCTGTTTTTCGGATATATTTAAGCACATGTATGGTGGAAATTTTGAATTTCAAATTCAAAATGACCATCATTTCGTACTTTAATAAACACATTCAGAAAAGAGAAACAACTAAAGGTCAACTACTTCCAAGCCAACCCCATAGTATAATATCGATGTGCAGATGACCGATTTAAAGGCTCGCACTGTTTTGTTAGCCCCCCCGTGAATGTTTCTCCTCACACAGGGGAATCGTCCCTTGTCCGGCTTCTTGCCAGGACTCGGTAAAGGCAACAAAAACCGTATGCCACGAGCTAACAACAGCCCTAAAAGTAATGATTTATAAGCTTGGAGGCAATCCTGAATCCATCTGTTTTCCCAATTTTCTGTCTCGTTTGGGAGCTCCATCTGCGGCAGTTTTGCCCCCCCCCCCCCCCCACCGGACGAAGGCTCTTCTGACCCCTACGGTCATCGATTCCCAGATGCAGACCGCTTCACTCGCGTAAAAAAAAAAAAATTATTTCATTTTCGACACGGCGAGGGCCCTGAGTGATTGCCCATCAGACACGCATGAAAATATCTCGCCGATTCTATGTCTGTCCGAATAGTCTCAAAATCATCACTAGAAGGAGTAACACTGAACAGAAGTTCAATACAGTTGAAGTAACTTACTTTACTTTCTTGACTGTGCTGTGCCACAGTAGGAAACAGTAGATAGTATTTGTCTTTTGCTTTTATAATGGGAGGTTTTCGACCACACCTTCTAATCTAGCCAAGAATAATTTTTATTACTTTTTAATTTCCAGTCTGTGTGGGGGAGTTGGGAGGGGCTTTCCCTAACAAGGATGCCCAACAGCGTCAGGGGGTGCTGAGCCTTGCCAGCCATATATCTGCCTGCTGTTGCTTTTTCTCACCAGCTGGGCTTCTCTCCGTGGTTCACACTGTTCAGTGATGTCTCACAACACAAGACCCGTTCATGGCTGTAATGCTCTGTTTTAGGAGGAGTGCGGATCAGTTCCTTTGACATGTGCAGACATAATTAATGGAAACTATTTCTGCAGACTGGCAGAGAGAGAAACTTTACCAACAGCATCTTTGTCTAAGCCAGTACCAATTTGTTGTGTGCATATTTTTGTCATCCACTAGGGGCACCTGTGAGTCATATTCGGCACACAAATATAACGAAATATTGTTTCAATATGTGGAGTGTGTAGCGTACTTCAGCGCTGAGCTGGTGTCTGGGCCTCACGGTGTCCCAGTGGTACAGGCCTGGTAAATTTTAATAGACCTGGGCTCATTTGCTCCAGATCTAACATCACGCTGTTTGGCGTCCGTAACTTAGCAACCTCAACCTTGCCAGGTCAACGCTTTCTCACCAGAGTTAAAGATGGAGCTGTTGCCATCGGCTTTGGCCTGATGGCCTGTGTCCCCTCCCTCTGTCCCTACCAGGTGATCCGGAAGGGCTGGCTAACCATCAACAACATTGGCATCATGAAAGGAGGGTCCAAGGAGTACTGGTTCGTCCTGACTGCCGAGTCTCTCTCCTGGTACAAAGATGACGAGGTGAGCATCTTCAGCAATCACTGCAGCTACAGCATGGTACTCAAATCCACATTTTAAGAGCTTATAGATATGCAGTTGTCTATTCCAATAGGTTGGTATGCTGGTGCAGTGGCAAAAATAATTGGCTCATACCAGGCACTACATGTGTGGAGTTTGCATGCTCTCCCTTTGTCATCATCGGGATTCATCTGGGTCCTTCAGTTTCCCCCGACAGTTTGAAAACATGCCAGATTGTCCATAGGTGTGAATGTGTGTGTGAATGGTTCGTATGCCCTGTATAGAACGAGTGGGTATAGATGGATGCATTTGAAGGGCATAATTCCTGACTTTGGAATTGCATATACAGTATTCACCGTTACTTCTAAGGGCTAGGGACAATTTACCTAGACTGCACAGGACATATCATGCTGGTTACCAGTATGCCCAACCGATTGGCTTTGGTTAGTGGTTTTAAGGACTCATCAGTGCCTGAATGCGCGTCACGGTTATGCAATTCATTTCAATGGAGTGTCTCTGGTGTCTGGTATTACTTTACTGTTCCTCTGTAAAGCTTCTGAAATTAAGGATACCCCCCCCACACACACACACACACCTTCTGTGCTGTTCAGACATTTTCGACAAGTTTGGTTTGTCTTCATGTCTGCCAGCCTTTATTATTGCCTCGGAAGACTTCGGTAAATGATTTTCACATCCTGAAACCCTTGAGTTTCCACAGCATGACCCGAACACCACCCCCCTCCCACCCCGAACATTTCCACATTTGCGGTGTTGTGAGAAATCCAGAATCTTCTATTGATACGTTTGGGTCGGCATCCAGTTACTGGCTCATTTTACCCATTTACCTCTACTTTGGGGTGGGGGGGGGGCAGATGGATGAAGAATGTATGAGGACCTCGTTGAGTGCTGTAGGACACAGGGAAATTTGGGGG